TGCACTCTCATCTCCCATCAAGAGATTAATTCCTGCTGGGCCAGCAGTTAATATCTTTGGGCTTGGGTATGCAAGTCAAAAAATGATTCATAGCTCCTCAAGCAGATCAGGGGATGAAGACAAAGCTAACGACAATAAGTGTTTTATGTCAATAGAGGTTGGTAACAAGGATCCACCAGGAAATGATGTTGAATTGGGGTTTGATGAAGATTTAAAGTTGTTAACGATAAGAGTTGGTTCTCATACTCGTTCTGAAAGCTCTTTATCCATGAAAAGTGCCCCGGTTGGAAGAAAGTTTATTAAAAGTCATAAGAGAGTTTATAGTAGATCCAAGGAAAGGAATATATGGTTGGATGTATCAGGGGGGAGAGCAGTATTAAGTTGGATAGGGCTTTAATTCCAAGAGGATATCATTCTGATTTTTCGGAGGCATTAGATCATGATGCTGTTTCTATATTGTCCTCATCAGCCTTTTCTTTGCTGTTGGAGGAAGCTATGGCTACATGGGAGATCAGTAGGATTTTGGGTATATCTTTTAAGGGATAAAGGCTTGAGTGGGGCTTCCTGAGTTCGTGGGTTAATTCTGGGATTGGGTTTGGTATTATCAATTAGAAATATGATGCCAAAGTTATGTATGTTGTCTTAGAATGTTAGGGGGATGGGCAAAAAAGAAAAACAGAAAGCAGTTCAAAAAATAGTTTCTGAGAAAAAACCAACGTTTCTTTTTTTACAAGAAACAAAACTTGAGATTTTACCAAAATCTTTCTTAAGGAGAAGTGGGTTGAATAAGTTGCAAGGGGTCGTTGAGTCACCAGCAGCAGGTTCTTCAGGGGGTATTTTAAGCTGTTGGGATGATAGTTTTTTTGAGAAAGAAGATCAGTATGTTCACAGCAGGTTTATTGCTGTTTTCGGGAAGTTCAAATCCAATCAACTTAGATGTGGTTTCATAAATGTCTGTGGTGGTCCATTTGTGGAAGAAGAAAAGGTTGGGTTTTTTGAAGAACTGGGACTGTTTTTAAATGGGTTCAGCATTCCTTTTTGTGTGGGAGGGGACTTCAATGCCTATTTAATAGAAGAAGAAAAGGAGGGTCGTACTCAGAACAGGAATTCTATGGAAATCTTCAGTCTTTTTATTCAGCAAACGGGGTTAATTGATCTGCCTTTAATTGGGGGAATTTTACATGGAGCAGCAACCGGGATTATCCCACTGTTGTCAGACTTGACAGCTTTCTAGTTAATGTTAGTTTCTCTGCAGCTTTTTCTGGTATCACTCAGTCGTTATTACCTAAATCTATCTCTGATCATAATGCAATAATTCTGGAGAGTGGGGTAGACAATTGGGGGAAAAGACCTTTTAGGCTGTTTAACTATCTAATGTCTGAGGAAGGGTTTGAGGAGAAGATTACAGAGTCCATAAAGAAGTTCAAGATGGACAAGAAAAAAGCTGGTATTTTGAGTATTCTTAAGAATACAAAGGTTGCTATTAAGAGCTGGTCTGGGGATAGGAAACAATTTCCACGTGATGATATCTCTGATCTAGAAGACAAAATTCACTAGCTAGAAAATAAGTTTCAGCAAAACCAAAATTCCATAGACTATGGTAGTCCAACAGAGTTGAGGTTTTTGAGGAATGAGCTTTGGAGACTATACAGAATTGAGGAACAAATATGGTTCCAAAAGTCAAGAGAGAAGTGGGTTGAAGTTGGAGACCGAAATTCTAAATTTTTTCACACATGTGCCACCATTAGGAGGAGGATGAATTCTTGGAATGCTATTAATGTTGAAGGTGAAATTATCAAAGATCCTGTCCTTATCAAGTCAGCTGTTAGAGAGCATTTTTACAAAGCTTACAATTGTAGTTCAACTTTGGAAGTGGAGGATATAAAGTTGATTTTTCAAGAATTTCTATGGAGCAGAGTCTTATGCTAGAGAAGGAGTTTACGGAAGATGAGATTTGGGAAACCATAAACTCGTGTGATAGCAACAAAGCTCCTGGCCCAGATGGGTTGAATATGGGTTTTTTTAAGAAATTTTGGCCCTCTTTGAAAGGTGATATTCTGAATTTTTTCATAATTTTTACTTGGAAAAAGATTGGGAGAATGGAATTAATCATTCTTTCATTACTCTCATTCCAAATGGTTCTAATATTGGGGGGCTTGATGATTTCAGACCTATTAGTCTAGTAGGAGGGGTGTATAAAATTCTGTCCAAGTGTCTTTCGAGAAGGTTAAGAGGTTGCATTGATGATATTATTAGTGATTCACAATATGCTTTCATTCTGGGTAGACAAATTTTGGATTGTTCTTTTATTGCGAATGAAGGAATTGACTTGTGAAGGAAAAAGGATTAAAGAGTTGTGTGTTTAAGGTAGACTTTAAGAAGGCTTACGATACGATTGATAGGAATATTCTGTTTAAAGTCATTACTAAAATGGGGTTCGGATCGAAGTGGTGCTGCTGGATTCGGAAATGTGTTACAACAGCCTCAGTGTCTGTATTAGTTAATGGAGTACCTACGGATGAATTTGGTATGGCGAGAGGACTTAGACAGGGGTGCCCATTCTCTCCGTTGCTGTTTAATTTCGTTGGAGAGTTGCTTAACTTACTGCTGTCAAAGGCAGTAACTGAGGGTTTGTTTTATGGTCTGGTTGTTGGCAAAGATGAGACTTCTTATAATTTATCTCATCTGCAATTCGCAGATGATCTAATAATTTTCTGCTCTGCATCGAAGACACAGATTCTTAATGTTAAGAGGGTTCTACGGGTTTTCGAAGTAATGTCAGGCCTCAAACTGAATCTTACTAAAAGTAAACTATTTGGTATAAATATCAGTGAGGAAGAAGTATTGCAGTGGGCTAATGCAATTGGATGTTCAGTCGGCCATTTCCCTTCGGAATATTTGGGACTGCCGCTTGGTGTTAAGAGAAATTCTATATTGATGTGGGATCCGGCTGTGCAGAAGTTTTATAAAAAGTTAGCAGGATGGAAGGCGAAGACTCTGTCAATGGCAGGGAGAGTGGTCTTATTGAAGGTTGTTTTGTGCTCTTTACCCACCTATTTCATATCCTTGTTTAAAATTCCCTCTTCGGTGATTGTTAAACTTAATTCCATCATGGCCAGATTTCTATGGGGAGGAGGGGTAGAGGTAAAGAAAATTCACTGGATTAATTGGTCGACAGTGTGCTCTGCCAAAAGTGTTGGAGGTCTTGGTGTTTTGGATCTTAATTATATGAATAGAGCTCTCTTAGGAAAATGGCCGTGGAGGTTTGCTAATGATAGAGAGTCTGTGTGGAAGAAGGTTATCTGCTGTAAGTACAATCTGACGTTAGATCTTTGTTGTTCAAGGATAAACTTCCTGCACATGCTTCTTGGATTTGGAAATCGGTAGTTCAAAATCATTTCAAAGAGGATTAGTTTGGAGCTAAGTTTCGAAGTATGTTTAAAGTACGGGTGGGGAATAGAGCGAGCATTAGTTTTTGGTTTGATAGTTGGGCGATTGATTTCCCTCTTAAAGTAGTTTTCCCGAGACTGTTTATTCTGTCTTTAAATAGGTATGGGAAGCTTAATGAGTTTGGAGAGTTTCGGTCTTCAGTTTGGTCTTGGCATGTTCAATTGAGAAGAAATCAAGTGACTAGGAGCTCGAACAGTTTTTTGATCTTATGGCGATAATTCACAATATCACTCTTTCCCATGATTTGTTAGATGGGTTGGTTTGGAAAGGGAATGGGGAAGGTATCTATTCTGTCAAGTCTAGTGTGAAGTCTTGTTGTCCTGTTTCGACAACAGACTCCTTTTGGATGAAATATATTTGGAGAGGTTTAGTGCCTCCTAGAGTGGAGGTCTTTATGTGGCAGGTGGTGTATAATAGATTGGCAGTAAAGCAAGAATTACAAAGGAGAGGAGTTTCAGTTATTGTTGATGTTGCATGCCCGTTTTGTAAAGAGGAGGCTGAATCTTCAGCACATTTATTTTTCACTTGCACTGTGGCATGGAATCTTTGGAACAAATTTCTGAAAATTTGGGGAGTGTGTTCGGTTCTGCAGGATAATGCTCAAAGTTTTATGGTAGCTTGGGAAGAAATGGTCCTAAATTCTAAAATTTGGTCCTTTATTCCAGGAGTGGTTATATGGACGATTTGGAAAACTAGGAATGACATTGTGTTTGATGGGGGAAGGGTTGATCAGATGGAGTTATTTTTTATGGCAAGATGTAGGTTGGCTACTTGGTTCTTAGCTAAATTCAATAATGTGGCTATTTTAAAGGACTCTCTTATTTCTGATCCAACTCTTAGGGACTGTTGTTCTAATTCAAGGCTTTCGATCATCAAAAATGCCAATTGGTCTCCTCCTCCAAATTATAAAATTGAACGTCGATGCAGCAGTGAATGGAGATTGGAGGAAAAGTGGTGTTAGGGGCATTCTAAGAGTTGAGGATGGCTCGGTGATGGGTTCTTTCCAAGAGGCAGCTGGTCCAGGTCCACCTCTGTTGATTGAGATTATGGCAATAAAGAAGGGTTTATCTTTCTTCGCTTTGATTCATCAGAGGTTTAAAGAACGCTTAATTGTTGAATCAGACAGTAAACTAGCAGTGGAGTGTGTTAAAAATTATGATTGTTGTCCTTTTGTTTACAGAGCCTTTGTGAAAGACATTGTTATTTTGTTAAGAGATCTTAATGGTATTATTAGATGGGTTCCTAGATCAGCCAATGTTGAGGCTGATAGTTTAGCTAAAGCTGGTATTGGCAAGTTACACAGCTTTCTTTTAGGCTTTAGTTAGGATTCGGGTTGATTATTGTAAAGGGTGTTTTTTGTTTTTAAACATTATGTACCTTTCGGATTTTAATGAATTAAGGCACTCTTTTCCTCCTTCCGCTGATTAAGGAGCACTTTGTGCTCCATTAATCATGAAGGGGGTTTTTAACGAGGCCTACCTACTTATCAAAAAATGTGTCAATGGATCTTGCCTATATATATAATACATGATCGACTCTAGAAATTTCACCTGCATGATTTTCAGAGCTACGAGGAATATCAACTTCCATATGCCTTTGTTCAAAATCAGCACCTTGCTTGTCAGTTTCCTTGTTTGTGTTAACCTGCAGAAGAAAAAAAAAGTTAGGCTAGGTTTACACATTAGGGTTATTAACCATTGGCAGAATCAGAATTTTGAAGTACCTTCTCATCCAATCCACTTTCAACAACCGATTCAGTTGATTGATATGAATAAACCACATCTGCATGGACATTGTACAATATTTTTCAGTGCTACCCACCTACTCTCAAAACTTCATTGCTCTCCTTCAACTTGAAATTTCAAATTATGATCAAATTAACTAATTTTCATACCTTTAGCCTCGGAATGGTGAACATCTTTTGCAGTAATCTGTGTCTTCAAATCTGATGAGTTAGCATCTACACCAACATCAGCAGCTTCCTTCTTTGCGTCAGATATAGTTTCACAAGAACCATCCAGAGTATTCAAATTGTCCGCATCAATCATCATTGCAGCTTCCTCAACAACTTTAGTTTGCACCGTTGAATCTTTGGATTCAACGGATGAACATTCGACATCTTTCTGTTCTCCACGGTTTAAGTCATTACCATACAAATCACCAACTTTTTGTACCTCCAAAGTTCGATTTGCATCTCCCTCACCTTCATCCCTTCCAGCTTCACCACCAGAAACCTCACTCCTAGAACCCAAATCACCATCTTCGTCGCCTTCACTATTTAAGTTGAGCAGATTACCCTCCATAACACCGCCAGAGTCACCAGGACCATGAACCGCTTCATCATTTGAACCAGTCCCAATCATACCTCCATCTCCCCCATCAGTAGTACAAATACCATCTACATAAACATGAGAACCCAGAACTTCCACCATTATATCATCTCCATTACTAGGACCCTCTTCCCCTCCTTCCTCCATGGGAATTTGACCCTCTGTCTCAACAACAGTTTCACTAACAGTAACGAAGATTCTGTAGCAACACTCAGGGAACCGCCTTTCTCTTTAGCCTCATCCATTCAATAACCGACCTGAGTATTGTTCAAAATAATCCGGAAATTGAAATTAAAAAAAAGAAAAATAAATGATAAAATACACATTTTCATACCACATAAAATTACAGCAATAAAACAAAAGAGAAAGAAATTAAGCTATAAACTCGACAACAGTTCACTAACAACAGCTAAAAAATTCTGTAGCATTACTAATAGCCACCCTTCTCTTTAGTTTTATCCATACAATAACTAATCTGAGCATTTCTCAAAATCAATAAAAAAGAGCTCGAACATTAAAAAATTCCAATGAACGAAATGGAAAAAAAATCGATCAACTCGAACAATAAAACTTAAGATAAGGCTGACATAAGCATTAAACTGAGAAATCGCAGGGGAAATGGAAGGAACAATATATATCAAAAGATGAAATCTTCGTATCATAAATAAAAAAAAAAGATGAAAAGGTTAAGAATTTAAGTTTACCTTCGAAAGATCTCGTGTGTGGGGGCTTCGAGGGTTTGGGGTTTTGAAAGAGAGAGAGAAAGTACTTTCTTCTGTTTCGTTTGGTTTTTCGGCAAACAGAAAAGAAAAATATAGTAATATAATTCCAGTGTTCTCCAAAGAGATCCAAAGACAGTAAACGCATATTCCACTACTGTTATCATCGCACGTGGCATATTTCCGTTGGATTTTATGGGGGGCTTGATGACATTTTTTGGGTAAACTACAGAGTTTGTCACTTTTGCTTCAGTTTTATAAATATATGGTCACTCAATTCAAAACACTTAATTCGTAATCACTTTCATTTCATTTTAATTAAGATACGGCCACTTACCCTAAACGGCCATGAAAGGTTTAATGATTTGATGATGTGGCATGTTTGTTTAATTTTTGTTTTAACCCTGGAACTTTACATAAAATTTAATTATGATTTTTTTGTAAATCTAAAGCAATTCAGGGACAAGTTTGCAATTTACCGCTCTTAATATGCTTTTCTTCTTAATTTCCCCTTACACCCCATCGCCTCCTCCAACTATGGCAAAACCGCCGTCGAACATCAACTTCCTGACCATCCGAGACCAAAAAGCAACCGGGGATTGAAGTCCTAAGCTGAAGCTGTTCAAAGAACATGACTTGGACAAGTATTCTCAGTGGCAGTCTCTCGTTTTGTGCAGCATGGGTACAGGTCTCCAAGGAGAGCTTTTGGCAGTCCATCAGCATTCAGCCGGCATAGTTGTTCTCTGTCGGATTCCGACAACCGTGGGTGTGACTGCAAGTTTTGATAAACATAGGAGAAAGTTAACGTTTTAAAACAATTGTAGCAATGAAGAATTTTTGTGTATCCTTCTTTAAGATGCAACAACTGATTTTAAGAATAAGATAATATTAAGCTCCTAATAACCGGTACATACAAGGTCGGGCTTTTCGGTTAACATTGCAGACAAGAGCAATTTACGTTAAAATGCCAAATAAAATAATTCAGTGAAAGATTAGACAAAGGAAACAGATCTTATCTTTTTTTTAATTAATCACTGGTATCCGATCTATTAACCGACTAATTCATATTAAGTACTGCAGAGGTCGAGGGCAACCTCCCAACCCAATTTACTCCATTCGCAAATGTCAAGATTCGAACCTCTGACCTTACTTAAAGGACCTTGCTAGAATTCGAACACCTGATTTTACTTAACAGATATTCTCTCTTTAAAGTTATTTGATCATTCTCGAAACATATTAAAAGGGCCTCTAAACTCAACTTGGATAGAGGTTAAAACGTAACTTACGTATTTGCAGCATAAAAAACGAAGAAAACAACGTAATTAGCAATTATGTGCAGTTAGGATGGTACCTTGAGATAAATGTCTATAGCACGATATAGACCATCGTACACGGGAACTGAAGCAGCAAGAGCCTAAAACTTGGGGAGCTTCAAATGAACATCAGGGACAACCTCCGCAAGGTACCCATCAGTTAGCTTGGCTACCATTGTAAGTGGTGTTAATGACGGTGAGCCAATAATCTGACCATCATCAGCCGAACATGGAGAGCCTCCACCAGTGATTTGGTCCATGGCAAGAAAATGCTCAAGAATTCGCTGCACACAGTCCACGTTGTAAAGTGTTTCCATGAACATCAGGAGAGCATCGAAGTGGCGGAAGTCGGAGCAGAGTATGCGGTTGCTTTCGAATCGAATGGTCAGGAGGTTGATGTTTGACGGCGGCTTTGCCATGGCTGGAGGAGGAAGAGATGGGGTGTGCAGCGTAAAGGGGAATTTAGAATAAAAGCATATTAAAAAATGGTAAATTGCAAACTTGTCCCTAAACAACTTTTGATTTATAAAAAAGTTCATAATGAAATTTTATCTAAAGTTCAAAGGTTAAAACAAAAATTAAATCATTTTATTAACGTACAACGTCATTAAATTGTTAAACCTTTAACGGTCGTTTAGGATAAATGATCACATCTTAATTAAAACAAAACAAAAATGATTATATTATAATTAAAACGAAACGAAAGTGACTACAAATTAAGTTATTTGAATTTAGTGACCATACGTTTATAAAACTGAAATAAAAGTGACCAACTCTGTAGTTTATCTTTTTTTACTAGGATAATGACTTTTTTTCCTTTACGGTACATTTGATGAATTAAAGTGAAAATCAAACTGTAAAGAAATTATCCAAGATGAATAGGGTCAACTGTTTCGCATAGTTTTAAAATGATAATACTAATAAATATGTAATGTATTAACAATTGTTAACTTTATATCTAAAATCAAATTAAGTCAGAATTTTAAAATTAGAGATAAATATCTCATCTAAAAATTCAAATATTATATTCTATTAAAAAATATTGAACTTTTCGCCATTTGATTTCATGGCTCGAACGTTATACTTCCCATGGTGGGGGATCTGGTCTACTTACGGCATCCAACAATGGCCTTCTACGCTGTCTTCAATGCATTGGCCGATGAGATTGTCCAATGATCGACTTGTTTAAACAGTGATAACTTCCCTGTTGGTCATTTCGGAAACGGTAATGGCGTCTTCTTTGATTCAAATGTCGACCAACAAAGATGTCAATATCCTAAGGGCTGTAAATGAGACGAGACAGATAATGAGTTATTTAAGATTGATTCAGTCAAAATTCGATAAATACTCTACTCGAATTCGAACTCGACTCGAGTTCTTAACGAGCTGAAACGACATACTTAATAATTGACTCGAAAAACTCGTGAGCAACTCGAAAATATAATATATTAAAAATTTATTTTTTTTACAAAATAAATTATTAATAATATTAATATTTATGTGTTGATTTTTTAAAAAAAATAAGATTTTCATAAATTTTAAGATTCAAATTGCGTTTGAATTCAAGGCTTTAATCGAGTTACGTTTAAGATTTTTTTTCTTTTTGAGATTTTTCAAGCTTTTAAGAGCTTTAATTCATAATATTTTAGACTTGCAAGTTTTCGAATCGAGTCGAACTCAACAATACTTGAGCTCAACTGAGATCGTTGACAACACTAAATGTAACAACCCGAAAATTTAAAAACAAATATATAATTGTAATTTGAGGTTTTAATTAAGTAAATTGGTGAAATTTGGGGACTAAATTAAAAGATTTTAAAACTTGTAGCTTATTTTAGAGTTAAAGAAAATTCAGAGATCAAGCCCTGAATTTACCCTAGAATGATTCGTGAGTTTGGTATTATATACGCGCAATTGGTTTCTGAAAATCAGAAACCAATTGCTCCCAAAATTGTCTCTCCTAACACCATCTTCCAACCACGATCCCAACGTCATTCGAATTCTGATCGTCGTTTTGAAACCACCATCGTGTTCATCATCGAGCGATGAACAAACCCCTTAAATTAATTGAAGTGAAACGCTGCCAAACGCTGGGAATTTCAAGTTAAAGTCTCGACGGTTTTTTAGCACAATCGCCGAGAAAATCTTAAATTCACCGCCGATCGTTGATCCGTTTACGACACCTCCTGCACCATCGTGTTCCTTGTGTCGTTCTGAGTCTGTCGGTGTCATCCTTGGTCTCTGTCGACGGCGGCGCGTGAGGAGGTGAGACGGTCAAAGTTTCCGATTTGTTGAAATCGAGCTCTCCGCCGTTCAAAAATTTGAACCAATCTTTGTAAGTATCTTGAAATCGCTCAAAATAATTTTTAGAAATTTTTTCGTAAATTTTACGCTGCTGGAAAGACGTCCCACACACCGTCACTGTGTGTGGGGAAGGTCAAAATAACCGGTTTGACCGGTTACAACCCGACCCGACCCGTTGACCGGGTGCTATTCTGATAATTATTGGAAAAGGGTGCTATTCTGATAATTATTTTGAAAAGGGTGCTAATTTCGTAATTTTTAAAAAAATAATTTCTTGATTTATTTTAAAAATATGATATTTTAGTAATTATTTTGAAAATGGTGATATTTTGGTAATTTTTTTTGGAAATGATGTTATTTTCGTAAAATGGTTGTTCACATCTTAACCACATTTGACCAAAACTTTGACCAACCATTAAACAACCGTTAATCTTTCCCGAGAATACATATCTCGACATTTTTTAACACCCCGGATCCGTTTTTGGGATCCGTTTCACTAAATTCAAACCCGAAAGTCTCCAAATCGTCAGTCAAACTCGTTGACTTTGATTTTGACCAAGAATTCAAAATTTCGAAAAGTCATACTTTATGTTCTTTGACGTCCTGAATTTGATTCCGAAGTCCGTTTTGCCAATTTTTGAGCCGAAATCCCCGAATCGAGCATGTGAAACCAAAAGGCTTAGTATTTTTAATATTTTGATTATTTATTTGAGTTTTGGTTAAGGAATTGATTCAATAAAATCTTTTATGAAGGTACTCGTGTTTCACCTGAGCGTGGATCAGTTAGGTCTGAAGTTGTTCGTTCGTTAAATCATCCTGAACTGCGTACTACAAGAATTACCCGTAGGTTTCCGTATATTATTTAAATAAAAATTAAGATTATTTATATTAGGATTCTAATATGGATTTTTCCAATTCGTAGGATCTAGCGCTGCAGCAGAGCGTGATTGACAAACCCAGTACTAGGCTTCCCTATCTGATTTCTCAAACTGTTACAGGTGTGTTTCCTGACGGTGTTATCTTAATGTTTAAAACTATCATATGAATAGTTTATCTGATTTTTGACCTGGATTTTGATATTATACTTGACATGGATTTTGATATGATACTTGACCTGGATTTTTATATGATACTTGACATGGATTCTGATATGCTACTTGACCTGAATTATGTTTTAATTTTGATATATATATCCGTTATGAGCAGAACATGATTTATTTGGGGGAATAATGTTGAAGGAAGTATACCTGGAGGCTCCTCTGCTGTGTGCTTAGGGCCTTACTTACCGGCAACTCGGCTGTGTGCTCAGGGCCTTACTGAACTTGACGGTGGGTGTATGGTTATGGGGAACTTACACATTTTGGACTTGACGGATGGAAGTAGTGTTCATATTTTAAAACATGTTTGATAACCAATTTTACTACAATATTTTATTCGTATGCTTTTATACACTGTTTGGAGCACACTGAGCTTTTTAGCTCATTCTATAGTTTTACCCTTTTTCAGATAACAGCAGACAGTAAGCAGCAGATTTGACATCAGTTAAGATCAACTACTTATTTCATACAAACGTATATCTCTATATTTTTTTTCAGTTGTGTTTGGTGACATGTATTTGCTATAATTTTGGATTTATCTGTATTATTTATATTTTGTTATGTATTATTTATATTTTATTATGTATTATATTTAATGTATTATAAGTTGTTTTAAAAAAAAATCTCTAAATGGGATATGTAACCACTTTGATTTGGATCTAACTTAAGGACTGGGCCTGGGGGTTACACTAAATATCCCTTAATTCAAATGTCGAAGAACAATTATGTCAATATTTTCTTCCCTTTGATTAAAATGTCAACAAACAATGATGTCATTATCGTCTTTCCTTTGATTCAAATGTCGACCAACAATGATGTCAATATCGTCTTGAGATAGTTCATGGGATCATTAACCTCGCTCACGATGTTTGTTATAGAGCCTTCGATGATACGATGAAGCATGCACTTCATGGTTCAATGGATTAGGGCCCAAAAGAAGTGCATGAACAATGGAATGGAGGATCTGTGGAACAGTATGCATATAATTTGCAGTAGCAGAAGTTGAAGCGAGAAATCCAACAAGGGGAGCAACCTTAATCTGCAAAGCTGGTTTTGGTTTTAAATTCAGCAACCCAAATGATCTGACAACAATTCCGATACATTTTTTTTATAAATTTATATTTATTATCCAAGAAGTAGAACTGCTGCAGAAAGTATAATTCAATATATCGGATACCAGTGGTTATACAAAAAAAAAAAAAAATCAACTACTCCTGAATGTTTCCAACACAGAACAACGATGAACATTTTTACTGTATCAATTCAATTAATAAATTTCTTCCTTAGCATTATACTAACTATTTCCTGAACAAATATATTAGACTCACTATTGCATAAACCCTTAAACAACCTATTATTACTTTCTCTCCGGATCATGTAAATTTTTTGATTAATCTAGGGCTCTTACAAGTGATAGTATATGTTCTAAACACTCTCAACTATTTGATAATAAATGCTCAAATACCCTGTGCAGTTTATGGTGCTCAAACCTGGAACTTCTAGAAATAACAACCTTTCCTTTAACCAACGAGGTACCAACAAATTCTTAATTAAACCAATTTGATTAATGCCAATGTTTCACTTCAGCATTGGAAGGAAAATAAGATAAAACAGTTTCCTGTGTATAATTCATTAAAATTATTCTTAATTCCAAGATCCAAATAAGGTTTTTTTCCAACAAATTTATAGGTTTCAAATCTCATCAATTACAGAAAAAAATTAGCAAAAATAAAATTGAAGTTCATTTTCTTTTATTTTTTCCCCTCAAAAAAACAAAACAATATATATGAAAGCTAAATTCCTATGAACCCATATCATTTACAAGAATCAAAATGGTCATGTAGACGTAGTTAATCTAATCGTTACAGCAAAAACTAACTAGAGAAAGTAAATCTACTGCCAAAAGCCACTTTTGATGAGAAATAGTTTGACAATGTGAAAAATTACTAACCTTGAATCCAAGGGTCATAAAGACCTCTTGATGAGGTCATAAAGAGAGATGACGATTTCGGTGCTTATCAACACAATGATGAGCCACTCCAGAAAATCTGATTTCCTATTTTGAAGAATTTCTTGAAGAAACCGAATGTTGTGCTGCAAAAGCAGAAACAAAGGGATGTCACATGATAGAAGCTAAACATGTACGATATCATTTATCACCATTGTTTTCATTGTGTATGTATATGGGATATTTCCGCATCTATGCTTTTTTGCAAAGACAGACATTTCTAAGAGAGCAAATATCATACCTCAACGAACTTCAACTTGAAATCAAGACCTGCAAATCTTTGAGTTAATTCAAATTCATCTCGCAGAAATTCCCAGATTATGGCGTATTTGGCATCTTTCCAGGCAATATCTGATCTGTTAAAACCCAGAAAAAATGCATGAGCTCCAAAATAGTCATTCTTGTTCGTATTTTTATCCCATTATGAGATGAATAAAAAAATGATGTGAAATTATTACAAATTCATTTGGAAATAGAAGCCTTAGAGAAATTTATATGGTCACGGTACATAATGGGGGTTGATTACCTTCTTAATGGGTAAAAAAGTTACCTCTCAAAAAGCCCGAGCTTAAGAATCACATCAGCAAGATTAGAGTTTGCCTTTCCTACTATCTGAAAAAGTTTCTTTCTGTCCATAGTAAATGTTCCTGTTTTTTCCATCCCACGATTTATGTCGGTAAATTCCGCAACCATCCCATCAACCTAAGGAAAAAAGTTGACTGTCATTATCAAGCTAAATGTTCATAAAGCAGACTGTCGGTAAATTCCGCAACCATCCCATCAGCCTAAGGAAAAAAGTTTCGACTGTCATTATCAAGCTAAATGTTCATAAAGCAGACACGGGCAATCAAACACTACGCACCTGGCGCACATAATAGTCGAGAGCAATACTTTGACCAAGAACACTTCCAATGGTACGGATTCCATCAATATCTAAAAACTGCAACATGATGTAATCCAATCCACCTTGCATCCATGTATTTAGAGCAGGCATCTCTCTCACCTCATATTCTGCTCGTAACATATCAAAAAGAAACAAAAACATCAAACAGAACTCCTTTATTGCAATACCGTCTGCATTTCTTTGTTCCTTGTGAAAGCAACAGATCTAATCTCTTAAAACAGGGTCTAGTCAGAAAATTGAATGATAAAAACACAGCATCAAATGAATGAGTTATTAAGAAGGAATCCACTGAAAATGACGGTAAAATACGAGGTTGAAACCCAAACTATCTCTAATAACTTGTCTGTATGTGTATTCATGTGCATGTATTGAAACATATATACGAGAAACCACAATGTATCTGGTGAATGCAAGAATGGCTGAATGGGACATGCATAAGAAGGAAAGAAAGAAACCGGCAAGAAATACAGATAATATAATATATGTTGTATTTAAAAAGTGGAACTTATGAACTCACCGTCCTTTCTCATTTCAGGAAGCAATCCCGATGCATGTTTTTCAACATTTTTCAGATACTGATCCACATCACATTCACGAACATTAAACAACACGATGGAACCATACTGGAACACCACCATAAAACAGCAGTCACTTCCACTTATGAAAACACCAGGACCCTGAATAAAAGAAATTACAAATTCAACTAAATTATCTCGGACAGGGTGCACTCAATTAGACTGATTCCAAGGGTGTGTAAAGGGGAGGCTGACAGGTTAGCAAAGATGGGAATTGGTTGATGTTTAGTCGTTTCCAGTGCGTTGTATCGTTTGGTTTAGGTTTTTGGTTGTCTGTTGAGTAGCTTAGTCTGTTGTGTTTTTTCAGTATGGTGTTTATGTTAAATCTTATGTAATTTCGGAGGAGTAATAAAGTTTCTAAGGCACTCTTTTCCTCCTTCTTTAATCAAGAAGGAGGTTTTTAAGGAGGCCTGTCATTCTTATCAAAAAAAAAAAATGATAGAGCCATTGCTGTCTAGAGAAAAATAGTCAAGAGTGTGGAATGCCTCATAAAATGATGGCCAAATCTCATATCTATTCAAAATTTTCATGCCAATTTAAAAATCTATGATCTATCCGGAAACATTTTTACAGAAAACCGTTTATAGGAAGCAAATCAGATATTGTATCTGTTTCTCTAGCTGACATTAGGTAATTTAAGCTCTAAATGTAGCTCAGATGGCTTAGAGATATATGCCGCTTAAGTCAATTCACGGGAGAGGGAGAGAGAGAGAGAAAGAGAAAGAGAGCAAAAAAGCTGCACACAGATAAATAACATTATGACAAATCTCAAAATAAAATCTGGCTTACAGCAAGAGCACACCTCATTTTTACTGTTTAAACTAATGCATGCATGAATAATTAAGAAGTTCCTTATTCTTTAACTTTTCCAATATTTCATAACCAAGAGAAATGATATTATTATAGGTTTATAACAAAATAAATAAAAGCTTTTCAATTTACTCGCAAAATCCCCAAATATGTCATCCCTATAAGGAAAAATGGAAAAAGCTTTTCATGAACTTGCAGCTAGGAATGGGCATGGGACCCAAACCCGACAGGTTCTAACTCAACCCTGTAAGGTAGGATTTTAAAAAAACAGGTTCAGGACAGAGTTGGATTTAGGGTGAAAAATACAAGACCCGGAATACTAGTATAATTTTCTCCTATGTATTTAAGGATAATTACTATAACACCCCTCTCCATTTTTTTCCAATTACCTCCCTATTTTTACAGAATAAAAAGGGGAAAATAGGTTATTATAATGACACTCTATATATATACATATATAATCCCCTTATTTTTTGAATAAAATATGAGGGCTTTTTATTTGTTTCAGGTCAGAGAGGGTTTTAACCCCCAAAAATCTGGGACAGGTCAGGTAGAAGCTTTAGATTTTCGGATCAGCCAAAAACCCAACCCTACACGACCCATGTCCATCCCTATTTGCAGCATAGTGAAAACAACAGCGTCCTAGCCCTCCTGACGCCAAATACATAGGCAGTTAAACACGTTTAAATAAAAAGACTGCCGCAATAATACATATAAGTAGCAAGTTTTAAGTTCCAAGTGTTAAACTCAAGACGAAGAATCTCATTTCAATGTTCATTGATGGTTCATAGGAACTCGCCATCTTTTCCTAATTAGCTTCTCCTTTCCCCCTGATTACAACAGTTATGTGGATGAAATATATGAATAAATATTACATAAGAAACAAAACCTCCATCAGTGATTACTGATTAGAATGCATTTTTTACAGAAAAATTATCATCATAAAACAAAATTGTAATTGATTAAAGTAATTGATCTTAGCACTCTTAATAACAGAATAAATTTGTTACAATTAACTTACAGGGGAACTAGCAAGATCACCAAACTTCAGAACAACATAGTTAGTCATTCGTGACGTCGGCGGTATAATATTCTGCTTGTTCTGCTCCGCCAATCCTCTCAAATCCACACTACACCCAAAAGGGGACAAAATCATATAAGTAAAGTGTATGCTAAGTAAATTTATTTAGGATTTAAGAATCAGAAATTAGAAGTTCTAATATTTACCCCAATATACAACACCAAAAGTAAAAGCTTTGGAAACAAATCGATTCTAATGATTTCCCATTAAAGCTCAATAATTAATTGAAAAGAAAAAGCAAAATGAATTGACAAAAAACCTGGTAGAGAAAAAATAAGCTCGAACAGGAATAGAGCGTTTAGCGCCTTCTTCCACCGCCCCATCATCGCCGCCATCGCCGACTTTCGAGCAAGAAACCGCATCGTTCCAACCAACCACCATTTCCGGTTGCGGAGTCGAGAACGATGAAATGCATCTGGCGATGATACTTCGGCTGACGCCGCAGCCCACGCTGAACGTCCACAAGATGGAGGTGGAGGGTGATGAAGTGGCGACTGAGCGTAGGGTTTTAGAGGAAGCGAAGAAGAAAGCGGAGGGTTGGGGTTTAGGGAGAAGGGAAGAAAGAGAGAGGAAGGAAGAGTAAGGCAGCGTTTGGGTGCGGGTTGTACGGACGGAGAAAGAAGGGAGCAGCTGGCGAATTGAGCGCCACATTGGTTCCTCCTCCGTTTTCCCATGCGGGTGTTGCCTTATAAACATATACTTTTTCATATTTACTACATATTTTCAATTAAATACAAAAAAGTGCATGAATTTGATTTAATAAATTTTGATATAATAATAATAATAATAATAATAAACAGGCTTAAAGGATCTCTTGTCCATTAAAATATATTTTCATCGATGAGAAAAAAATTCAACGCTCTAATTCTTTAATTTTGTTAATATTTTCATTGTTTAATCTTCAATCCTAAAAAATGTTTGTTAATTTTATTTATTTATTTTTTTAAACTGTGTTTGATAATTTTAACAAAAAAGAAAACAATATTTCACAGGTGAAAACAAGAGAGAAATTTAAGCACAAGTGCATAAGATATTTAGCCATGAGCATCTATCAACAAAATCGGTTCACCACCAAGCATGGAGTGGAGGATGGAAAGGAGAGGGAATGGAAAATTTGTTAATGCACCATTTCATTTATTACATAGTGTGTCAATGCACCATTTTAGATCACTGCTTGGCGAGGATCGACTCGACAACTCCTCGAGCTATGGGGTGATAACACTCACGAGCCTCTGAAAACACGCGTTTGGCCAGACTCCTCTCTTCCTCTTTCCCATCACCTTGTACGAGAGCCGTGTAAAGTGGGCGAAGGTACTTCATCCTCCCAACTTCCTTCAAAGTTTTATCCACCTCACCATAGATTTTTTTTTTGCACTTGGATAAGATCGCTAGTTGAAGAAAAGCCACTTTCACTTCATAATCCTTTGAGTCCGCTAGTCTGTAGCGTTCGTCCAAGGCTAAGACCTGCATGAACAATTTCGTATACCAGAGATTGAGTTGACAACAAAATACAATGATTTGAAGTGTCGAACGTATCGAGTGAAGAGACCAACAAAACGAGCTCTGGTGAAACCAACCCACACAACCAAACAAGAAAAAAGAAAAGACATACTGCTCACAAGATACGGTAAAATTTAAAAGGTTCGGACTAAATTAAAAGATCTGCATGAAAGCTTCATATCTAAGAACAGCCTCAAGTTTACCAGGGAAAATAAAGTGCAGATTACATCCAAAAACTCTAAAACCTTAGAAAAAGCCTAGCATCACAGAAAACGGTATAGCTTTATATTCAACAACATTAGCAAATCCATCCCCTACAAAAGGATCTTGCTCCCTCAATGCAGCCAAAGAAACCAAGCAACTTGAAAAGTTTCCCGTGGCAGCTAATTGACATCAATATGTTTTAATCTCAGTACACGTTTTCAGTCATTGATTAAAAAAAGGATAAGAGAACTACATGACATTTAGTCCCTTCCTAATAAATAGGTTAGCCGGCTAATAGCATATGTTGTGCTGTTTGGCTCTTTTCGAACTATATCCGAATGAGTTCCCAAAAAAAATCAGTCCCTCTTGCATAATTGCTCATCGACATGATATCCTCCATCCGATACCGTGGAGGCAATTCTTACAGTCTTCTCCTTACAAGTCGAATCAATTCAAACATGCCACTTCTTATTCTTCAATGGATTCAACCCACACCTTTTTCTTGGCATGCTAGTTCCTAACCTAATTTTCCTTCCATGCCCACAATAGCACACATCTAGCATAGTAGTTTAATTGCATCCACTAATTAAAATTTCATCTTTATATGAATCTAAGGAAGTTCAAAGGAACAAGTAATCTTTACACTGGAAGTTCAAAAAAGCATTATAAAATCATGCAATCTAATAAACCAGAAGAAATGGTCGTTTTAAGAGAAAACAAGTACTACCAGAGAAGGCTCGAGAACTCTAGGCAGATTCTCTAAGTAGAGCTCCCATTCCTGCCCTTTCCAGTCTGCAACTTCATCTTCCCCCGGAATCCTCCCAAGTTTGAATTCACTTGCCAATGACAAAATTTTGGTGTATAGATCGGATACTGGTTCGCATGCATCTGGTGGGATATACCAGTTCCCTCAGTCCACAACACCAGGTCTATATCTTCCTCTATTCCAGGGACTTTAAATTTCAGGAAGTCGAGAAATGTCTTGGTGTCAATTGATTGGAACTTGAATTCATCAATATAATCCAGGATAAATGCATCAAAGGTCGGTCTTCCAATCTAAGCATTCCAGTAAAAACACAAAATAATGCACCAACATTATTTACAAACAAAGTGAAACCATTAAAAGAAAAAAGGCTTCAAGATACCTGGCGTTCAATGCGCCACAGGAACTGAAAACCTTTCTCGTATGGAATTTCAGAATATATCGCGTCAGGATCAACTCCTTCCTGACTGTTTTTGAGCTTGGTGAATTCCAAATTATCCTTAAATTTCTCCACTTAATCCTTTAAACCCTTCCAACCAATTCCAGTGTTCAGTACAGCTTTATCTTCACCCAGCACAGCTTTAACAATTCTCCTTTCTGCATACGTTGTAAATCCCTGTGACCACAAAAGAAACAAACCAAAATTACCTAGTCTGCAAAGGTCAAAAGACATCACAAAATGGAAAAATCCCGGCTTATCGAACAAAATATAAGACGATCGTCCTTTTCGAAAATTTCAAATTATCATTTTTAAGTATTTTCTATTGATAATATGCTTGGTATCCCTAAAAATGTTGGCTACTAAAATTTTATAAATTCGGCTCAAACATAAAATCCTTCATACTTGCAAAAAGAATAGTTTTAAAAAAACGGAGTATTACCTCATTCAACCAGAAGTGTTCGTTGTTCCGATTAGTGATCAAGTTTCCCGTCCAACTATGAGCGAGCTCATGAGCCACCACCTGCGCCCCAGTGGCGTCTCCTTTAATCACGGTTGGGGTTAAAAAAACCATCCTCAGGTTCTCCATTCCGCCATAGGGGAAACTCGGCGGCAGAACAAGCAAATCGAATCTCTCCCAAGGATAGTTTCCAAACAACTTCTCCCCTTGCATGATCATCTCCTCCGTCCTGGCGAAGGAGCATCCAAAAGACTATCCACCGCCTCAGCATAAATCTTAGTCCTAGGCCCAACTTCCCTTGACCCTAGCTCCCCAACCGCAAAAGCGAACAAATAAGGCGGGATCGGCTGGTTCATGTGAAACTGCTCGACTACCCTTGTTTCGGAACTCCATAATGAATTAAATCCTTGCGGCAAAATATGCGAATATCCTTCGTCGGCAACTGGTGGCCGCCTTTCTACGTGGCTGGCGGACATAACGGCAGACAACTACTAGGGAATGTTGAGCAGAGCGGTGTAACGGATTCGGGCGGCGGAGGTGTCTTGGCATGGGAAAATGGAGCGGGCATGGATGGACTGGCACTGAGTGTAGACGAAAGGGTGTCTCTTGTTAAAAGTCTGGGGCGGAGAGAGCCATTGGAGGGCGGTAGAGGAAGGGGAAGTGGAGAAAACGATGAATAAGGAATTGAAACCAGGGTCGTTCGGGAATGAAATGGAAAGCTGGGTTCCTTTGATCGGGTCAGGGGAAGAGGAAAGGGAGAAAGGGAGTGGGGAAAGGTTGAAGGGGTCGAGGACTTGGTGGATGGAAAGAGAGCGGGTGTCGAAGGAGAGTTGACCGACGTGAGAGGAAGAGAGGATGAAGAAAGCAACGCCGTGGATGGTAGCGGAAGGGAAGTCGAAGTGTCATGACCTTAGATGAGAAATTGGGAAGAAAAGGAGGAATTAGGGATTACAGATATTAGAAATGGGAAATTGAAAAATGAATTGGGAATTCGAGAGTTACGGGCAGATGAGGGGTTCGACATATGGGTACGGAAGTTGGGTTGAGGATGGTAACTGGGCTGGAAGGCAATTAACAGATCAGACAAGGAAGACCATAGTTGGATGCTGAGGTGGACCAGACGGTTATGTTGTTAGAAAAATTATACAACTGTCAATAAATAATTGCATTATCTGATGAATATATATGAAATGTACCAAAACAATGGAATCATGAATGAAAATACACGGAATTCATTTCTGAAATCTAAAATTTTCTCTTTTCCTTAAACATTTTCTTACCATTTTCAGGGAAAACCTGACAATTGGTAATCAGATGAAGAAGAGTGGAACCATAGAGACACCAGAACAATCAGTGGAAGCTGGGAATGAAGAGGCCTTACCATCTTGGTGGGCTGGTCAGAAAAGTGAGCTGGAAGCAAGGATACAAACACTGGAAACTGGAGTGATTGAGAATAGAGGATATTTGCAGAGAATATTGCAGATGGTGAACCAGGCAGCTGAGGAAAAGGATTCACCTTTGTCTGATAAAGGCCGATTGCAAGCAGCTGAAGATCAAACAAAAAAAGGAGGTGAGCAACCATGCTTAATAACAGTTTTTAATGAGCATGAGAAATATACTTTCAGGAATGATAACCTGGAATATTATCATCTAGACCTGCTGTTATTCCTCAAAAGTGTGAAAGTCCACTTAATGATATTATGGATGTGAAAAAATTGAAAATAGAAGGAAATAGAGTCATCTGTTGGTGGAGAGGGTCAGTCAAATTATGTTTTCAGGCCAAAAATAGAAATTCAGATGTTTGATGGGACAAACCCAAGAGGCTGGGTAAGGAAATGTCATAAATATTTTTCCATCTTTAAAGTACCTGAATACCAGAAAATAGAATTAGCTACAATGTACTTAATTGGAAAGGCTGAGATTTGGTTTGATGGTTATATAGCCCAGAAGCATAGGTGAACTGGCATGAGTTTGTAGCAGATATATGTCATAGATTTGGTGATCAGAATTGTAATGACATTATGGAGGAGTTTAATAAGCTGATTCAAAATAACTCTGTAGAAGATTATCATGAGAAGTTTGAGGAGCTGAGATCTTATATGTTGCAGTACAACCCATTCTTGGAGGAAGGGTATTTTGTTTCTAGTTTTTTGAGTGGGTTGAAAGAAGAAATTAAGCACAGAGTGAAAGTTTATAATCCAACCACTCTGGCTGCTGCTTTCAGACTAGCAAAATTGGTTGAGTTGAATTGGGAGGTGGAAAGCATGAAGTTGAGGTTTCAACCTAGAATGACACCTATAGGGCATAGTTCCATCTACAAATCTCCTAACCCTACTCTGAATCAACCTCAAAGAGGAGTTGCTCAAATACTAATCAGAGTAAACAGTCTTTGGTAGAGTACAAAGAACACATGGACTGTGCTATAAATGTGGTGAGAAATTCAGTCCAGGACATCAATGTAAAGTTAAGCAGCTGAATTATATGGAGGAGATAGAAGATACAAAAGAGTTTGTGAATGTGGAAACAGAAGACAATGAGGATAAAGCAGCAGAATCTATGGAAGGTGAACTTGAAATCTCTATTAATGCTATACCAGGACAGGCAGGTCATAACACTCTAAGAATTCAAGGTCATATCTCAGGAAAACCTTTGAACATTCTGGTAGATAATGGAAGTACTCACAACTTTATAACTGGTCAGTGGTCTAAAGAGGGAGTGGAATTAGAGAAGACTATCCTTTAACCATTACAGTTGCTAATGGAGAAAAATTATATAGTTCTGCTATGAGTAAAAAATTAAGATGCGGAATGCAAGGTTCTCAGTTTGAACATGATTTCAGAGTTTTAGTTCTGGAAGGTAGTGATATGGTATTAGGGGTGGATTGGCTGAGAAAATATAGTCCATTATTAATGGATTTTAACAATATGACCTTAAGCTCCCAGAAGGATGGGAAAGATGTTACTTTGAAAGGGGGGTCGAGTTCAACTATTGTTATATTGATATCAAACAGTAAGCTGCAGAAATTGATGGAAAAAAATAATGATATCACACGAGAAATCTTTATGTTAAGTGGGGAGGTTAGTTGTAATGAAGTACATGCTGAATTACAAGGGTTACTGGAAGAATATTCAGTTATTTTTGAAGAACCAAGATGAATGTCACCCCAAAGGGAACATGACCATTCAATCATATTAAAAGAGGGTGCTGAGGCAGTAAACATCAGACCATATAGAATTCCCTACCATCAGAAGTCAGAGATTGAAAGCAAGTTAAAGAAATGTTATCTTCTTCTATAATTCAGACAAGTAAAAGTCCATTTGCCTCACCTTGTCTGTTAGTTAAGAAGAAAGATAGAAGTTGGAGGATGTGTATAGATTACAGGCAGTTGAATGGGTTAACTATAAAAAATAAGTTCCCTATTCCTGTGGTGGAGGATTTATTAGATGAGTTGAGTGGGACAGTTTATTTTTCTAAACTGGATTTGAGGTCAGGGTATTGGCAGATTAGAATTACTCCTGAAGACATTCCTAAGACAGCCTTTATGCTCATCATGGTCATTTTGAGTTCAAAGTTATGCCTTTTGGGTTGACAAATGCTCCAGCAACCTTTCAGGCTTTAATGAACAAAGTATTTGAGGCCTATTTAAGAAAATTTGTATTGGTTTTTTTTGATGATATACTTGTTTACAACATTGATTTGGAAAGTCATATTAGGCATCTCAGAATTGTTTTGGAAGTTTTAAAGCAGAATCAGTTGTTTGCAAAAAGAACCAAGTGTTTCTTTGGTCAAAGAGAGGTAGAGTATTTAGGCTACATTATATCTAGCCAAGGAGTAGCTACTGATCCAGCAAAGATTCAGGCAATGCAGCAATGGAAATTGCCAAAAAATTTAAAATCTTTAAGAGGATTCCTAGGCTTGACAGAGGCTTGACAGGATATTATAGGAGATTTATTAAAGGGTATGGTGAGATTGCTAAACCTTTAACCACTATGCTAAAAAAGGATCAGTTTCAGTAGACAGAAGAAAGCAAAGCTGCCTTTGAAATACTCAATCTTGTAATGTGTCAGGCACCTGTTTTAGCATTGCCTAATTTCACTAAAGGTTTCTGTTTGGAAACAGATGCAAGCTCTAAGGGAATTGGAGCAGTTTTATCTCAAGAAGGCAGACCAATGGCTTATCTCAGCAAGGCCTTAGGACCTAAACAACTAGATCTGTCCATTTATGAGAAGGAGTATCTGGCCATACTAATGGTCATATCTAAGTGGAGGCATTACTTGGAAGGGGGATCCTTTATTATTAAAACAGATCATGAGGCTTTGAAACATTTGTTAGAACATAAGTTAACTACTTCCATACAGAAGAAATGGATCACAAAGTTGTTGGGATTGGATTATGTTATTCAATATAGAAAAGGTATACATAATTTGGCAGTAGATGCTTTATCTAGAAGAGATACGAATGAGGTGGAATTGCAACAAACAACTACTG